TGGGCGTTTCCCCGTCTGTGTACCCTGCGCGCAGCGTATCTGCCAGGATGGCAGAACCAGGTTGCAGACTCTCTATCCCGCCAGGCACCTGCTCCGGGAGAGTGGTCTCTTCACCCCGACGTAGTGCGCATAATCTGGAACCTCTTTGGGCAGGCAGAGGTAGATCTGTTCGCCACAGAGGAGTCGACCCATTGCCCCCTATGGTATTCCCTAACCGGGATGGCGGGCGCACTGGGCCAGGATGCACTGGCTCATCCATGGCCGCAGGTTCTCCTGTATGCCTTTCCACCCCTCTCACTGATTTGGCCGACTCTACGGAGGGTTCTCGAGCAGGGCCACAGAGTGTTGCTGGTAGCTCCGTTCTGGCCAGCGCGGCCGTGGTTCCCGCTGCTTTGGAGTCTGTGTCACAGTACTCCATGGCGTCTTCCAGCAAGGAGGGATCTGCTGTCTCAGTTGGGGGGACAGATATGGCACCCCAACCCTCAACGTCTCCAGCTGTGGGCATGGCCCCTGGGAGGCTGACTGGGTGTTCAGACACCGTGAGACACACCGTATTGAGTGCTAGGGCTTCCTCCACTCGGCTGCAGTATGCTAACAGATGGCGCCTCTTTTCTCAGTGGTGCTCTGCCCACAATGAGAACCCGCTTTCCTGCTCGGTGCCCACTATTTTGGAGTTCCTCCAGTCTCTCCTTGATAAGGGCCGCTCTCCTTCAACCCTTAAAGTGTATGTTGCAGCAATTTCATGTCTTCACCGAACTGTTGACAACCGTACAGTGGGGCGCCATGAACTGGTTTCACTTTTTCTGCGTGGTGCTCGTAGGTTGTGCCAGCGGCCAGCCCCACGAGCCCCAGATTGGGATCTGCCGTTGGTTCTCACAGCTCTGTGCCACCCTCCATTCGAGCCTTTGGCACAAGCAGAACTCAAGTGGCTTTCCTGCAAGACTGCTTTCCTGATGGCTATCGTCTCAGCTAAGAGGGTCAGCGAGCTACATGCTCTTTCTGTCAGCCCTAGGTGTATCAGGTGGAATCCAGATGGCTCTGGTGTTACCCTGTGGCCTAATACTGCGTTTGTGCCTAAGGTGTTGTCTCCTTTTCACCGTAACCAGCCATTGCGGCTCGCTCGGTTTCAGCCTCAATCTGGTACAACTGAGAATGAGTCTGAGTTGTTGTGCCCAGTAAGAGCGTTGGAGGCATACATTGCAGCCACCGCCAATTTGAGACGCTCGGACCAGCTTTTTCTATGCTATGGGGGTCCAAGGTTAGGCTGTCCTCTTTCTAAACAGCGTCTGTCCCATTGGATTGTGAGTGTCATCTGCCACGCCTACGCTGCAGGTCACTGCTCCCTGCCAGTCGGTGTGAGAGCACATTCCACCAGGAGCGTCACCGCTTCCTGGGCTGCTTTGAGAGGGGTTCCGCTGGAAGCTATATGTGCTGCTGCTTCATGGGCTTCCCCAACCACCTTCACCAGGTTCTACAGTGTCAATGTGGCTGCCCCTCATCCCCTGGGTCAGGTCCTTTTACAAGGTTCTGCTGGGCCTCCTCTGTGAGGTATGTGCTCAGGATTCCTTGTGACATCGTTGGCATTAGTCATTCAGTGCTTTCAGCACCGCCCTCTGGCGGTCAGTAGGGATGAAATAGAACGAAAGTTACGTATGTAACTACGGTTCTATGAATCCCGGATGACCGCCAGAGCTTCTCTGTCACTCAGAATCCTTGCTTTTGCGAGAAGATTCTGTAGGAGCAGAGCAAAGGATGACACCAGGCTATATAGCTTCTGAGTGGTCATCCGGTGTCACAGGTGTGACTCTGTTGGTATAATTACTCGAACTGCGCATGCCCGAAGGGAACATTCAGTGCTTTCAGCACCACCCTCTGGCGGTCATTCCGGGATTCATAGAACCGTAGTTACATACGTAACTTTCGTTTCACAGACTCACACGTCATCAATTAGAATAATCCTAAGAGCCTGTTGATGATTTTTATTTGACATAATTTCAAACAGAGAGACATTTTAAAGCACTTCTGTCTCTTTTTCTATCATTATGGCTTAAAGAAAATGTAGACCAACGTTTTCCATTTTACAGGAGATCAAGAGATTGATAAGAAAAGATAAGACACTTCTGATCAAAATTTCAAGAACAGTTCAATACATGTATGAATTTGCATTTTGCACTGTGGGGTCTAAAGAAGGTCATAAGTAGAGCTTCAAAATGGAAAATATATAAGAAATAAGAACAAGAAACTAAATGTTTTCAGTAGATTGTAGTTGTTAGAACTGTAAATATACAGTCACGTGTTTATATTACTGTTTTTATGTATTTTTTTACTATTTTCAAGGCTGCACTATAAAAGAAAGAAATTGTCAAGAGAGCTGTTTTTAACAATATTTCTTTTTGTTTACACTTGTGTATACAAAATGACAAAATAAAATCTAAGATAATTCATAAAAAAAAAAAAAACTAATGAACTCAAATAAGCTGTTCATCAATTCATCAAAGGTTTAAAATCCTAAAACCCTCCTAAAACTAAAATGAAAGTTTTAAGAACTCACTCATTAATATGTACCTGCACTATTATTTTTTTATCCCTTCATAAAATCATTTTGGCATGCTTGGTCCATTGCTGCCAAGTGGGAATGTTGCTCTCCTGGAAAAAAGTCGTAGTCAGATGGTTGCTGTGGACTGTAGCATTGTCCTGCTGAAAAAACCCCATCATTACCACACAGACGAGGGCCCTCAGTCGTGAGGGATGTCTGCTGCAACAACTCCACATAGCTGGTGTTGGATGCCCATGCACAACCTGAAGAGGGAAAAAAACACCCAGCTTATAATAGCGGCCCCTCCACTGTGCTTGAAAACTTCTCAGGTGGCATCTTCTCGTCATCCCAGAAAGCCATTAAGGACCTATGAGAATGCCATGGACAAACAGCAATAGATCACATGTCACCCCAAATCATCACTAACTGCAGACTTCTGACTGGTCCTGGTCCTAATGTCCTCTAAACAGACGTTAAAGCTCCAAGCCTACAGACCAGTTCCGTGAAACAGTTAAATCCAGTGTGTGGTAAAAAGTAATTTACCTCTGGGATTATTAAAGTATGTCTGATTCTGATTTCATGTATATCTTTTTTACTCAGCAGTATTTTGCTCACAACAAGCACACCATATATGAATTCAATTCAGTTTATTTATATATTGCCAATTCAATAAGATCATAGTCAAATTGATTCAAAGTTTTCTATCTAAGGAAGAACAAGTTGATTGCATCGACTCATTGACTCAAAGGCAATCCCTCACACTAAGCATGCTTGTAGCAACTGTGGAGAGAGAACTCCCTAGGAAAAAAACCTCCAGCTGAACCAGGCTCAGTGTGAGCCACCATCTGCCAAGGCCGTCTGGGGTTCAAGGAGACAGAAGCAGACATGGCAAAAGAAGCAGAGATTCCAAAGGCAACCGCCAACCAGCTCCATAGGCGGCCCCATCCAGGGAACACACAGCCAGGCAGACGAGCTCCCAGCCAGCTCCCATGTGAGAGGATGAAGAGCGAACATCCAGCCAGTCACAATCAGAGAAACAGGACTACACTGAAAAACAGGCCGAGCTCAAACATCTATCTACAAAGGCGTTGATGGCAGCAGCACAGCTGATATTTCTCTTCAGGATGGTGTCACAGCAAAACAGGAACAGACAAGGTGAAGCTGAAAAAGCAGAGAGAGAGCAGTGTTAGAGATTGAACTAAAAAATTCTGCAAAGTTGGAGAATAGAGATAGAATGAGGCAGAATGATGAAAAAGGGGTCCCTATGTCCTCCAACAGTCTAAGCCTATAGCAGCATAACTGTAGAGGTAGCTTAGGAGTAATACTCTGCATCAGCTGTTTACAGAGGTGTCAAGTAACGAAGTACAAATACTTCGTTACTGTACTTAAGTACAATTTTTAGGTATCTATACTTTACTCAATTACTTGTTTTTCTTCCTACTTCTGACTTCTACTCATTACATTTTCACACAAGTATCTGTACTTTCTATTCCTGACATTTTTAAAACAAACGTTACTCGTTACTCTTGGCTTCGGTTTAATGTTTATAAATATTTATTTCAGTTCTTGAGCACCATCCAATGCAGCTCATTGGCACCATCCACATCTAGTGAAAACTAGTGTAATTGGATGAGTGATATAACGCAAACACTCATTGGTTAGCTAAAAGAAATCATCAGAAGCAAGCAGGTGTTCTTCAAACTGCCAATGTGAATTGTCTATGCCATGCTACAATGTTGGATTCAGAAAAAGATGTTGAAATGTTTGAAAGGTCGGACACAGGCGACAGCGTATCGGGAGACGGGGACCAACAAGACCTCCCTCATCCTTGGCCCTACCTCAAACAATTTTTCGAAATTGTCGTGGAATTGAGCTTTTACTTCATAGTGGTATCTGGCTGTTTATTTTTAAGGTTACTTTATACTTTTATACTTTCAGTAGTTTTTGGAGCACATACTTTTTCACTTTTACTTGAGTAAAGAGGTCAACATGATACTTCAACTTTTACCAAAGTGTTTTTAAACTGCAGTATCTATACTTCTACTTAAGTAACAAATGTGTGTACTTTTGACACCACTGGCTGTTTAGGACTGGGGTGCATGTTGTACTTTTCAAACAAGGAAATGTGCATCACTCTCTTCGTAGCCAGATACTTACAACCAAGCAAATATTGTCCTGCGACATCACCGAGCGCTCTGATCAGTTAAAGATGCAAAACAAATAATTAAATGTACAAAAAGTGAGCATTCTCCTATGACATAATGGATTACAGCGAATGAGTTGATGATCCTCAAAAACACATTAGTTACTGCTACTCGCTAATCTAAATCAAACATGAGTTTTACTTATTCATACTGTTAAACACTGGTTTTATTTTTTTTTTTTTTTTTCAATTTTAAATAGTTTTTTAATAGTACGTTCTCATTTTGTTTGAGGTTTAACTTTTTATGTTTCTTTACTGTAGACATGCATAGCAAAACATGAGTCCAATGGCATTGACATTATTATTGCGCTGATTGTGAACTCCATCAACCCCCTTGGAGAGAATCGACTAGACCTGGTATTGGATCTAAAGGTGAGGAGCAGCCCTTTATTATCAGAAGCCTGCTTGTTAGTACTGCAATGCTTTTATGGTGTTCTTCAGCAGAGACTGTTAAAATGTAAATGGTTTAACTTCAAGGTAGGGCTGAATCTAACGATTATTTAGCAAATTGTTTAATCTGTCGATTATTTTTCAGATTAATCCATTAATAATCAGATAGCCAAAGGTTCCTTAAAGACTTTTTTACCAAATTAAAGCAGGTGAAACTAAAACATTTCCACTTTTCCTGACGAAATTCTTTTTTTAAAATCTTAAATGCAAAATTTGTATGTAATTTTTTTTATAATTTTGATACAACTATAGTTCTAAATGGGTTGCTATGACAGCTAAAGGCATATATTTCAGTCGCTATACTCCAGTTAATGATTCATTGATTACGGAATTAGTTGACAAATATTACAGTAATCGATTAATCATGATTAATCGGATTAATTGTTTCAGCCCTACTTCAAGGAAAATTCTGGAGTTGTTTTTATGTGCAGTTTAACAGTTTTTTTTTTTTTTCTGGAACAGAACAATGCTTCCAAGCTCCTGCTGGCCATCATGGAGAGCCGCCATGACAGTGAGAACGCAGAGAAGATTCTCTACAAGATGAGACCCACTGAGTTGGTGGGTGCTTGTGTTTGTAAAGACAGATTGACATTTTTTTTATTTAACTGACAATCGTTTCCTAACCTGTGATGTTTAGGTGGATGTAATGAAGGAAGCCTACGCTCAGGGGTATGACGCTGAGGAGAACACAGATGGCGTTGGAGAGCGGATCAGACCCAGAGATGTTGGACACAACATTTATATCCTGGCCCATCAGGTTGTTAATGACTCACTCTTTGCTACTTTTCTGTCTGATTCTACACTAACCTCTGAACTGTGAACTATTAATGATGAAATGATGACTCCACGTAAATAGTTTTTTCAAGATTATGCGCAGTTAAATTTGACACTGATTCTATTAGTTATAAAACTAAGAAAATTAAGTATAAGGAGGTTATCATCCAGAATTTTAGAAAAATGTTCTTTCAATATGGTAGCGCAGTAATGAGTAAAAGTTTTAATCCATCTGTCCTTAACATTTATTGCTGCATCACTTTTACTTTTATACTTTAGTTTTTAAAAATCTAACTTTTGCACTTTTACTTGAGCAAAGCTGAAGTTGCTATTCTAACTTCTACCACAGTATTTTTAAACAGTAGGATTTATATTTCTACTTAAGTAATAAACATGAATACTTTTGACATCTCTGTTGATTGACACTGAGGTCAGAATTTCTTACATGCAAAATGTACAAATTAACAAACTTGGAGATGCCAGAGCCATCCAGGGTCCTTGACCTTAAAGAGGGAACTTTTATATACTTTGTAAAATAACCTTTGGCACTTATGACAGATTTTTCTTAGATCATATTAAAGAGGCTGCAAATGATGGTGCACAAGAGTCATTCTACAGAGGATACATCTTGAATACAGAAATCTTCTAAAATCTGTATTTCTTTACAAACAATAGAGATGAAAGATCTAGTTGAATTTAACAAATAAGTGGTTCACTTGAAACTATCTTAGCTAAATTCACTATCAAAAAATATGCAATAATTATGCATATTCACTATTTTTCTTGTAACATATTTACAAGGAAAATAGTTTATTTTTATACATAAAAACCAAAAATATGCCCTGGTAGCAGCCAGCTGAATAATTTTGGCACAGTTGGGTATTTTTTCTGTTGAAAATTTTTGTGTTTTTACCCAGGGTGGTCTTGGTATGGATGCGCTTTTTTATTTAAAAATTGAAAGTTTTATGTTCAAATTTCATTACTGAGTTTCTTATGTTAGTTTGGGGTGACTGACCTCTTTTAAAATCTCTGCAATATCAAGAGTATTGAATTTGACAAATGTATTCTTTGTCTAGCGTTTCATGTTTCTGGCGCTTTATTAACCTAATTTAATTCTGTTTGCTGGTGGCTTAGTTGAAGTGTTTTGTGCCTCATATTGCCATTAAAGATGACTGTTTTCCATTCAAGCCAACTGCTTGTAATACGTTTTTTTAGAATAGGTATAATTTTTGAGTATTTTAGGTCAGCTTTCATTTTTCAGTAATTGTTTTTTTTCTGTTTTCACTCAGAATTACAGTTTTCTTTTTTAACCGTTTTCCGTCTCCCATCAATCTTCTTAAAATTAAAGAAATTCAGATTACGGTATTAACATCTTTCCATTTTTTAGTTGGCCAGACACAACAAGATCTTGCAGCAGAGCCTCAGGCTGAGTCCTGGCCCGGGTCTGGATAACGATAAAGACGAAGCTCTTCATTACTACGCCAAGCACACGGCACAGATAGAGGTGAACCTCCTCTTCATCCAATCAGGATATATTTATGATTGAAAATCGTTATGCAAACTAGTTTCTCTTTTCAGATTGTGCGTCATGATCGGAGTATGGAGCAGATCGTGTTTCCAGTTCCAAACATCTGTGAGTACCTCACTGAGGAGTCCAAGACCCGAGTTTTCACCACCACCGAGAGAGACGACCAGGGCAGCAAGGTGAACGACTTCTTCCAGCAGTTTGACAACCTCTACAATGAGATGAGATGGCAGAAGAAGATCCGCAGTAAGTATTTCTAAGGGATGGCTGCGATTCCAGGATCCAGTCAGTAATGGTGGCTCATGGATAGTATCAATAATGACTATTGGAGCAAACTGAACTTGTTTCTGTTCTGCTTTGCACAGATAATAAGGTTCTCTTCTGGTTCTCACGGCACTTCTCTCTTTGGGGGAGCATCTCCTTCTACCTGGCCTGTGTGCTCAACCTCACTGTGGGTGCTTTTTACCCATTTGGAGATGATGGAGATGAGGGTAAATATTATATCAGGATTTTTGCATTCGTTGATCAGTCATAAATTGTCTACTTTAAATTATTTGAAGTGTTGATTTTCCTGTTTAGAAATATATATACCTATTGATATTTACTTAAATGTCAGTCATCGTTCTGATTAGCAGCTTCTGGCCTAATTCCTGCTGCATGTTTAACCACTTAGGTTAGAACCTCTCCTTTATGTTAGTAAAATGAAGAAGCTTGTTCAAAGCTTTTTCCACAAAGCTGACTTACCGTGTGTTATCCAATAGAGTAGAGGTCAGTTTCATCCTAAAGGTCTAATGTCTAATCGTTTTATCCACAACCAGTTTTCTGAGTGTTGGGAGCATTTTCCTGTCTGAACACCCAATTCTGACTAAGTTCCTACCAATCAAACCAGAATTTTGGGAATATGTATAATTTGACTGTGTTGGATAAGAGAAAATGGACAATAACTCAAAATTCCTGATGCAGACTCTAGAGAAGAAAATTAAGTTTGGCTTTGTATTAGCAGATCACCCTGAAAAAAAAAAAAGTTCCAATAGTTAATCGTATCCAAAACATACTGTGGGTTTCATGTCCATAATTAACCTGTGCCGACCTCTGGCCAAATCTCTAAATGAAATTAGTTTATATTTCCTTTCAGCAGTTGTTTATTGTTAGGTTTTTAACAAACTTTATCTGAAGGTTTTAATTTTTTTTTAAGTTCTGTGGCAAAACACTCTCCACACTTATTGTAAAACGATTATGTATTCACACTGTTTTCCTTAGACAATGGGAGACAGGCCAGTTCCTAAGTAAAAACCTAGAAATTATTTTATAAGAACTGTAGGTCATGCACATGTGCATACTTTATGTAAATTACAAAAACACTTCTTACAACTTTATAGACCAAGTTGGTTTTAAATTCAGATATTTATGCAGTAGGTATAAACCAGAAGAATTGTTTTCATTTGCTTCTGCATTGCTTCTGCAGATAAAAATGGATTCTTTACATTTCAATTTAAACACAGTAAGAAATAAATACCCAGTAATGCTTCTGAAGTTTAATTAAATTATCTTTAAAATACATGACTTATTTCTCCAGGTGTTTCTATTTTATAATCACTGTGTGTTTACACATAATCAGACCTTTGCACGTAAATTACTAGTTGTGTTTGGAATGTGCTGCTTAATTCTTCTGATGGAGGACGATCTGGACTTTAACAGAGTTTATTGGCAGAGCTCTTCATGTTGCAGTGTCTCCACCAAGTTTATTCCTGATATTTAATTAATATAGAAAGATAACAGCTATCCAAATGAGATGGTTGTTTTTAAATTTACAAATAAAAGTCCTTGGAAGACATATCAAGTACTGTGCTACAGCTCACAGTCACACCATGTTTTTTTTTGTTTTTTTTTTTGTTAAAGAGCAACACCAGGTTGAAATATTTAATCCAGGTTATTGTGACTGATTAATGAAACAATTTTAAAGTAATGTAGTAATTGAACAATATTCACCTGGAAAAATACAGAATAAAAAAAATACATTTACTGAAAGAACAACTTGTAGGAGTAATTAAGCCATAATTGTACTCTTTGCATGTTGATGGAAAAACCTCTGTGTGTGCCATCCTTAACTCTTCAAGTGGTCTAGGTTTAGCTTCTCTTCTTTGAAATTCTATAAAATAATGAAAAGTATTTTATTGAACACCTTTTGATATGCAGTTATTAATTAGTTAATTAATCACCAAATTATTTGTATAGCTAGTTGTATATAAGACATTTAGATTTATTCTGGTCCTGATCACTAACTTTCAAGATTTATGGGCTTCTTACCACTCCGCCTCAACGCACATTGTTTTGACAAGAAAGTGAAGCAGGCATTTTCAAAAGTAAACATTTGGTTCTTCAATTTAAAGTTATTTTTATGAGGAGCTTAAAAAAGCCCAGAGAATGACTGATCCAGCCTTTAAGAAAAGGATTATAGAAACGTCTTTTGCTTAGAGACCGGATTCAAATCTTGCGTTTTCTAAAACTCCCTTTATAGCAGCTGTTCTCGCTCCAGTTTTCCAAACCTTTTTAAGTGCATCAGCAAATTTGTTTCTTTGTATTTGACCAGTGAGTCTAAATTATTATCTTTTTAAATCATTGCTCTCAGTTACTTATTACTACTTTGCAGGTTCTTTGACAACCCCGAGCCTCAGCGGTTTGTTTACCCTGTAATCTCCTGCATAGATGTTAGCACTAACTTCCCTTTGGACTGTTGTTTTGACATATTTAAGTGTTGCTTTCTTACAACGTGCCAATTTAAGCTCTCAGCACAGGTGAATAATTTATCCATGATCCGCCATGCCTCAAAGTCTGTTGATTGTTACTGGTTTCTTTTATTTTCTTTTTATCCAGGCACCTTATCTCCTTTCTGGAATATCTTTCTGTGGGTAGCCTTAGGGATCACCACCGCCCTGCTTCCTGTCCTACCCAAACAGTGGGGCATCATGTCCTTCCTCATCTCCCTGATTCTCCGAGCCATTTACACTATGGGCCTCACGCCTGCTCTGTTTTTGCTGGGTTCTATAAATGTGAGTATAGGATGCTATGACCCAGTCTTTGGGTAGTGATCCATCATGTGTCTTCTTACGTCATGTTTTTTCCCTCAGCTCTTCAACAAGTTAGTGTTCCTTGTAAGTTTCGTGGGCAACCAGGGAACATTTGCTCGAGGCTACAAAGCAGTTGTGATGGACATGCTCTTTATCTACAATTTGGTTTTTGCCTTCTTCTGTGTCCTGGGCCTCTTTGTTCATGAGTTCTTCTACAGCTTTTTGGTAAGAAATATATATTTTTTCTGTTGAAACAATCATTAGGGTTCCCTCTGAGGTGGATTTTCTTTTCAGTTGTTTGACCTGGTGTCCAGAGAAGAGACGCTGCTGAATGTGATAAAAAGTGTTACAAGAAACGGCCGCTCCATCATCTTAACGGCAATTCTTGCCCTGTTCCTCGTCTACTGTTTCTCCATCGTTGGCTTCGTCCTCTTTAAGAATGACTTTCGGATGGAGGTGGACCCACTGCATTCATCAGGTGAAAACGGCAGCTTCACATTTTACCTATTTTTCTCATAAAGGTCATTAATGTTAAAAAAAGCATTTTTTTTTTTTTTGTCTTGACTTTACTTCAACTTAATTAGCACAATCTTAGTTGTGAGCTATTTTTTTATTTTCTTTTTTTTTCACCAACCAATCAGTAAAAGGGAAAAAAACAATCCCCAAAATGTAATAATGATGAAGCTAAAATGAATGCCCCAATGTAGCTGCATGTGTGTGCACACCCTAACAGGGTTGAAAACTAAAAATATAGAAAATGATCCTCTTTATTTTATACTGGTGTTGCGTCGATGCCATTTTTTTGCCCGATACTGGATACCTGGCTGTGCAGTATTGGCCAATACCGATACCATACCAATACAATTTATTTGAAATTGATGTGTGTTTGTATATATGAAGAACTACATACTACTTGGATGTAAAACAATTGCCATCATGGCTTCGTCAAGCTGCTGCCTGCCTTTGTGAAGCAGGAAAAGGACTAATACAAAGTTAATCCAGTGGAACATTTTATTGCCTACCTGGAATGGGTGACAATAGTTTAATCAACTTTTGGCTCTCAAACAGGTATTTGTTGGTACTCGCCAATGCTGATACCACCATTTTAGTGCTGGGTCAGGGCCCCGCCCAATACTGGTATAGTTATCGGTGTGCAGGTGGTGCAATGGTTAGTGTGCACAACCCATGTATGGAGGCCTTAGTCCTTGACGCAGCCGACCTGGGTTCGAATCCAGCTTGTGGTCCTTTGCCGCATGTCTCTCCCCCTCTCTCATATCCCCTTTCCTGTCAACCTACTGTCAGATAAACGGGCCTCTAGTGCCATAAACACTCAAAACAAAACAAAACAAGACTATTTTATACCTGCCATGTATAACAGTGACTCTGCTGAACCAGACATTCTGACTTTTCTATAACTTGAATCACCAAAGTTTACAGGTTGCAAAGAACTAGAGGACCCATTTTGACAAAAGTCTATTTTATTCTCTGTGTTTCCAGACTTAAGAGTCGTAATTTAGTCCAGAAAAAGCATTACTGGCTAAATTGGCTGAAATCCTGTTGTTGGAAGAGTTATAGATTAATAAAGATGATTAAAGTATTATACTCTATCACAGAAAAATATAAGTTCACTAACTAAAACGCACAAATTAATCTACTAAGTAAGAACATTTCCATGCAGACAACACAATCTAGCTGTAAGTGGATCAGCATCTTACTGACTGACCAGCATCAAGTCAGGCTGGGGAGCATCTTTTCCTCTTAAGAACCATCCATACTGGCATCCCCCAAGGGTGTGTTCTCTGTTCACTTCTCTTGCCTATGTGCACGAAGGTCAGAAGCCCATCTATCAAACTCCTAAAGTTTGCAGATGGCACCACTTTCATTGGTCAGAACTTCTTTTTTTATCAAAAACCTGTAAGAATCATTGGCAAGATAAAAAAAAAAGTAAATCTTTAGGAGCAAGAGGTTAGAATTAAAGCATCCAAAATACTTCAAGAGTTCACCAAAATAGAGCTCTGCAAGAGAAACCTGGAGAAGCTTAGCAGCATGAAGCAGATAAGTCAAGAGATAGGATGTTGATAAACCTCCTCTAAAAAAGACCAACTCTCAGATTAAAAGGCGTTTCAGAGAGGCATTAGTTTGAACGTGGGCTTATTTACGCAACAACATTTTCAGTTGTATTGATATTTTTTGGTATTTTATGTTTGCACATAATTGTTCAGAATACAATACCTAAAGATAAAAAAATGCTTAACTTTGCTGGCAGAAATAGCTAGCATTTAAACACTACTAAAAGCCCTTTTTAGATTAACTCTCATTACAATGCCAGTAACTGAGTTTCATTTGACAGCAAAAACAAACATAAAATCAAACATTGACTACTTTCAAAATTGTATTATTTGTAATGTACATTTAGGCTAAAACTGGGTTTCCCTGAATATTTTTCAGATTTTAATGCTAATCTTTGTTTGGTCTAATCTTAGGTGCCGTTTGGAGTTATAAACTTTTGTTTTTTACAATTTCTCCTTAGAGAGCTCTTTAGGTGTGCTTTTATAGACATAAAGTACATAGAACACGTATTGTATGCTGTATATAGATCCATAGCCACATGTTTTGATAAAAGCAGGGATTGTGTGGGTGTTTTAATGAGCTGACGAACAGGAAGACATCCTGCTTGCACATGTGCACCTGTTGCATAACCTAGTGGCCATGCCATCCTGTGTTTTGCTGAACAGAGCAGAGCAGACACAGCAGAGCGGCTTATGTAACTAGCTGGGCTCATGCCTGTCTGTATGTTAGCTGAGGGCTGGGCTTTGGAAAAGCTGAGGAGCACTCCCTCCACATTGATGCTGCTGTGGAGCTCTGGCCCTCACAGGCCTCCCAAACATCCTGTTTAACTGTCTTCCTCCTCATCCTCTGACTGATTACTTTAATTTTTAGTTACGTGACCGGATTGAATCTCAGCGGTATCCCGTTCTTGATTACTGATCAGGGCTTTGCACGTTAAAATTATTTGTTCAGGTTTGGTGTTTTTTAGCAGCTCTTCACCGCCCACCCAACAGCTGCTGCTTCAGTTTACATAATGTCTGAATATACAGTATAATTTCTTTCTGGTTTAAATATCTAATATAAACTGTGACATTTTGATAAAACTTCTCCAAACAATTTTCATTGAAAAAGGATATCTAAAACCTGCTTCCTTTTGTTTTAAAGGGAGATCAGATATGCTGTGCGACGTCGAAGCCGCAGATTCAACCATGAAGACCAGCTGCCCTGCGTCACCTTCCAAATCACTTCCTGGTAAAATGTTACCATTAAAATATGATTTTAGTTTTTTAATCCCATCCATTTAGAAAGCCTCAGCTGAGTAGTTTGCTTTGTGGCTTGACATTTTAAGCCATAGAAAGGTTACTCATCCAAACACACAGTGGCATCCTCACAGACCCGCACCGAGGCGTGCACGCACAGAAACCCAATGAGGCAGTGACTCACACTTCTTGGATCCCAGGATCACCTGCACTGCAGGGGCACACACGTGATCCGATCCACATCCTTCACCATGCTGCGTGCGGCTTCACCCATTAACAGCATCTCTGTGCATTTCACACCTCATAAAAATAGCAAGATACATTTCTTTGTCACTCATTAGTGACAGCAGAGTGGAGGTGGTTTTAGATAAGGTCATGATGATTCATTAGCAGTCTCTTTTTTAACATGTATTGTAACATAACTAACAAAGAGATGTATAGAAATATGGCTTCATTGATATTTGGCAGAGTAAATTATTAGAATAGAAGTGCCTTCAGCTCCTCGCAAAGATATTTAAACCTCTTTATCATTTGATAGAACAGACCAACACAAAGTTGCTCATTACTTTGAGATGGGAAGAAAATGATGCATAATTTTTAGTTTCAAAGAAAACTTATGAGTCATTCCATCATATGTTTAGACTTTAGAATTTCAGGCGATTTTTCAGGGCTTAGTCTTGTTTCTCTCCTAGGCATTGCTATAGGCTCTTTTACTGTGGCTAACTGTATGTGCCCTATTTCGTCCCTTTTTGGCTTGAAAACTGTAAAATCTCATCTGCTTAACATACCTAATTTTACAGTTACCTTTTCTAACCTAGAAAGTATTTATAGAGCTGTGTTGTTTTGTTCACTTGGTTTGTCTGCTTCAGTCTCCTCGAACCCCAGTCTGTGTCGGCTGATGGCCGCTGTCACTACCAGATCCGTTCCGGAAGCACTTATTTGCAAATTTGCACATGCGCATCCAGATATACATTCTGGTCGGCCTCAATTTTATTTTGTAAAAAAATAACTAAATTACGTTTTTCCCTGCCCAAAAATGGTAAGCGTACTAAAATATAATGTTTTGAATGTTAGTAATGTATTTCCTGAGAAAATAAACGCCTTAAAATCCTTTGTTTTTTCACTCATCCGTGCCTGATCTGTACCGGAAAATGGAATTTTCATTTTTTTTTTTCAATAAAGTTTGACAAATTTATATCTCCCACCTGAAAAAACCGTTCCCAGACCATGATGCTGCCAACATCATGTTTCACTTCAGGGATTATATTTTTATTTTGATATACTATTTTGCTGTTCTAACAAGTTACGGAACTTTGACCTTATTAGACTCAGGCACTTTGTTTTGAATGTTAGTCAGCTCCTCTGCATGACTCGTTTCCAAATATCTGCATTTTTAACCACAATAAAAGATTATCATGTCAGTACAGATGGCATAAACAGCTGATAGATTCCTTTATCAGTTTGTAAGCAATATTTCCCCTTATTTCTGGTGGTTTTAGCATAAACACACTTTACCGTTATCATTTTTGTTACTGTACCTTTAGTTTTCTGTCGAGAATCACATATCCATACTCTAGTTGAATTGTGATCACCTGTTAGATCCTGCCCTCAGCTTTAGAAAACACTATTCTTCAGTTGTGTGTGAAGTTATGATAATCTTACTGTTTGGTGATAATTCCATTTACTGTAGATCAAGTCTATGAATTGCACCTCTGTTTTTGTTAGTGGGTCGACAGATTCTCCCTACTGACCTGTGGATCTCTGCAGCTCCTCTAGATTTGCTAGAAGAGCTGCTTCTCTGTTTAACGATCTCCTGAAAGATTGGCCATGTTTTTTGACTATATAAATGAGATGCATTTGAAATGAAACTAAATCACTGAATGACACTGTGGCTACTTGTACTGAGGGCGATCGTTTCCCCAGGGTTTTTAAGTTCAAGTGCCTGCATATAAAATGCATGACACATTTTCTCATTTTTCCTTTTACAAAAAAACAATCATTTTCTTTCCTCTTAACAAGACCCAATGAAATCTGAAGAAGTTCTGAAAAAGAGGCAAAAAATTAAAATTCTGCTTTATTGCTTAATTACTTCTTACTTTTTATCTTTAATTTGTTTTTGTTTCATTCCAGATGAAGATGAAGGAGTTGAGCGTGTGTGTGACACTTTGCGCATGTGCATAATCACTGTGCTGAACCAAGGATTACGCAATGGTGGAGGTGTCGGGGACATTCTCCGGAGACCATCCAAAGAGGTCACATTTAAATCTTAAATCAGTTTTCCTCACTTAATGTCCTTTTGTACTAATATGACCCAAAGTTGATCTTTTATTTTATTAATTTTTTGTCGTTTTGTTCGGTGAACTGATGAGTTGATTCCATATTTTACTCCTAACCATGCAGGAGCCTCTCTTTGCGGCCCGAGTCATTTATGACCTCCTCTTCTTCTTCATCGTCATCATTATTGTGCTTAATCTAATATTTGGTGTGATCATCGACACTTTTGCCGACTTGAGGAGTGAGAAACAGAGGAAGGAAGAGATTCTTAAAACATCCTGTTTCATTTGTGGTGAGTGCTACAGAGTGAAGGCTTAAGTCTGCAGCGGTGAAAAAGGGGACATTTTATTTTATAGAGTAGTTTTTACTAACGTGTTACTGATGTTTTTCAGGGTTGGAAAGGGACAAATTTGACAACAAGACGGTGTCCTTTGAGGAGCACATCAAATCAGAGCACAACATGTGGCACTACCTTTACTTCCTGGTTCTGGTGAGGGTAAAGGATCCAACAGAGTACACTGGACCTGAGAGCTACGTGGCCCAGATGATTGCTGTAAGTCTACATACACTTTGGTATGACCTCTGGATTGTTGATTGTAGTTTGATGCTCCCTACAGGTTGCATCTTGGATACATGAATACATTTTTCAGTTATTAGACACCAAAACTAGTTTAACAAACATGTCCATCTTCTTATCATTCCAGAGATAAATCACTTCATTTCCCAATTTCCATTTTGTTGCTGAGCTTTACCAGAATTAGGAGTATATGAGAGTACAGATTTCAAAGTTATGCAGTCTAAAAGTTGCACCACTTTCCTGAGTCGGACTGTTTGGAGATTCTGCTGCAGAGCTGTCTGAGTGTTGAAAAAAAAAAAAAAACAAGTCCAAGCCCCCAGGCCAGTGCCAGGCATCCCAATTTATTCTCATTCACTCTCACTGCTCGAGGGGGACAGATCTCGCTCCCTAGATAATCCTAACTCAGCCGACCTCCTAACCTGTTAGGACACAGTGCATTTACATATTATTAATCCTCCTTCTTCACTGCTATCATCATTGTAATAAGTACCTGCATTGTTACATAGACAACAAGCTGAAGGATAAAGGGGCAGCGAGATGAGTTTATCTTAGTGGAGGCAAATAAAGCCTAGCTGCATAATGGCACATTTTGTAATTAGCGTTTGTCTGTGATGGGCATAGAAATAGCTGTATTATTGGAAACAATTTGCATTACAAACAGGTGACAGACGTCAAATTAAAATGCATCAGTGGTTCTTCCAACAGGTCTGCTCTCTGATGCCTGACCTGGGTGTTTCTGGGTAGGTGGAGGTAATGATGAGTCAGGATTTCAAAGAACACCCTTACATGAAAACACATAGGAAAGCAAAATGTTATACTTTTTTCCCCATATTTGTGGTAAAACCTATAAAGCATTATCTTATGATATAATTTAAAAAATGGAACCAAAGGTAATTCAGCAACAGATGCAGTTTTAAATGTTCCTTCTGATGCATTTTTTATTTAATCCTGGTTGTAGAAAAATGCTACTCTTAAAAATGGCTTAGTTGTTGGTCTTAATATTTGAAAACGGGCTAAATCAATTTGGATTACTTTATGGAAACATGGCTTATTTTTATGTATTTTAAAAGAGCGATGCTGTTATGTTAAGCTATCCTTAGGCTGTCTAGTTGTTACTAAAATTAATTTCAGAACACAAAAGTTAGGTATAATATTGGGTTAAATTTTGTAATTTCTGCTTCAGTTCTGATCAGAATTGTTGTTCTGTTGTCCTCCACTGCCAGGAAGGTCATTTTAAAAGCGCTCACCAGATGGGCCTATTTTATAACGGCCAACAATACAAAGGTTACATACACATAATTAATCTGTTATTTACTACATAATTATAGCTGTCAAACCAAAATACACAAAGGTAAGAGTGCTGCCATTTTCATTTTGTTTGACCTTTGAAAGTCACTTATCATTTATGCTTTACAAAGTGAATGAAAGAACAGCTAAACTACGTAGTCTTATACAATGAATCTGCAGCTACAGTGAAATAATGTAGCTGTAGATAAAGCTAATTGTTGTTGGAACATCTTTGAAAGCATTATTGGAAAATGGTGTATCTAAGGACATCAGCAGGTGTCTTGTAATTAGGGAGGATGCCTAAAAATTAAACTAGACTTCTAACATTAGAATAAGTCTGTCCCCTAAATGCAAGATCTTAACAACACAAGAAAAGCTCATTTTAATTGACATACATGTGTGAGCGTTTGGCCTGGCTTGCAAATTTATGATTGGTGACCAGATATCTCCATATTCCTTTTAAGAAGACACCTTTAGCCCTTCACAGTTCGTCCTCTCCGAAGTAATGAAGTGTTGCTTATTTTTCCTATAAACCTTGAAAATCACCCCCTATGTTTGATGCCTTTGGAAAAACAGCTTGTGACCAAACATGTGATTGCAACATGGAACTTAAAGAAGCTCATCGGTTTGATCTTTAAGAATATGTCGGAACGTATTGTTTTCAAAGTCCATGTGTTGATAGTGATCTGCTTTGAAATGATTTTACCTTCTTTCACGGGAAAAAAAAAAAAGTTTTTAGATTGCTCCACCAGAAATTACATATCTGGTATGTTGTGTAAATTACCTGAACAATCATCTATTTAAAGAGAACATTGTTAGAAGCTTGAGACTTAACAAAAACTGTAGGCTTAATGTAAAGCATTTCATTGAAGCAGTACGGTACAAATTTAGTTTCTGGTATTTCAATGCATCGTCGTTTTGTCATATTTATATCCAATTTATTATGGTGTAATTTGATCCTAAATATAGCGAAGTACAATTAAAGTTGGTCACATGTTTTTGTAAGGAAGCCCAGCAGACTGAATTAAACCATAGATTTTTCTACAGTCCCTCACTCTGAGAAAGCATGTACTGTCAAACCGGCCACAACAATGGCAACATTAGACATCTCAAAACCAGTCAGATTATTAATGAATACTTTAAGGGCAGGCTTGTATTTCAGGATCTAGATTTTTGATCTAGTTTACTTATTGCTTTTATTTCATAAGCTATTTGTTTTGTAAATTAGAATAAATTGAGGGCAGTGTTTTGTTAGTTATAATAAAGTTATAAAGGATTTTCATATTGCAAAGTATTCATAATAAAGTCCCAATTGCATCCAATGTACAGTCAAATTAAAGACCTCTCCAAACCAAGCTACTTCGGCTGGGGATTTCAACCGCACCTTCCTCCTGTTTGTAACAGAGGTGCATGATCTAGAAATCTATCATGACATTGAAGCCTGGGCTACTTCCTTCACTGCTCGCTGGGGCACCATGTGGGCCAAATATCCGTGGTGTTATGTTTCTCTCTTGAGAGAAGACCAGACTGCATCTTTTGGCTTTTTATGACCACTGATCTTGTTGCTTAGGATCTTCCAGACCCTAAAACTGCAATCACTTGGACTTGGTGGCCTCGTTTTAACTATAGCAGAAACTAAACTCTCTGCAGCATGCAATAAAGAAACTGGAAGAAAAAAAACACAAGGTGAACGGCTCTCGAGTTTTTCATTTATTTCCTTTCAAATGCAACTTAAACTTTCTGCTTTGTCCGTTCTAAAGTGACACCTTGTTTGCTGTTGGAACAGTTATTATTTGGCCTTTCGAAATGATTACTATTTAATCAGAAATGTAAAGGTTAGATAATTTGCTGTTTCTGATTGGCTGCTTTATGTGATAACACATTTTAAAAATAGACATTTTAAATTGTATGATTGGCTACTGTTACACCGAGCTAACTAAAGTTGGCTCTCAACTGCAATTTTAAAAACACCACAATAAATCTAAAATATAAATGTGAAAATAAGAAAATATCTTTTTCTTTTCACTTGGGTTTGTTTTGCCATGGAAACAATTAAATCCTTAGCAATATTCTTTTTCTCCAAATTTCAAAAAAAAAAAATAAGAAACGCCAATATTAAGCATCAAGATTGATTAAAAAAAATTATTATTTTTATACATGAATTGCAAGTAGACTAAGGGCACTTGCACACTTTATCTGGGACAACAAAGGAGATCTAACTCGACCTGTTCAACACATCTCAAGAGGTGGTCACACAGTCACTGAGTAGGAAAAAAAATATCTGCTACTGATATAACTAAAGTCAAGCATGCATTTAATTTAGGCAAATAGGGAAACAGCTCTTAAATGCTACATTTCCCTCGAAATAGTTACTCAGAAATGGGTCAGCATGACAATGTGTTAAATTTGCTCTCCAGCCATAAAACGCTGCATTTTCATTCCACAACAGTAACTCACTAAATGAACTAGCATTAGAACAACCAAGCCCACTTAAACTGGGACTTGACACGACTTACTGTAACCTACCTTTGCAAGAATACTAGTGCTGAGAGCCTTTAGGGGCGGTTTCAGAGCTGTGGTATTTTCCCTTCTACTTTATGTTGACATGTACCACCATCTCTCTCGGTAATAGTTTTTCTCTCCGATCATATTTCAGTTATTTTTATAGATTATTTTGTGGTTTTCGAACACCAACCATTAACATATGTTTATGTTTATGTTATCAAAGAGCAATGTATATTTTGTCAATTTTTCATCATTATAAAAAAATGGGCTTTAAGAAATATTTTTGTTTGGGAAAACACTGGCAATGCTAGGGACTAAAAATATCTTACATTTTATTAACAAAGTTGTCTAGTTTATCATCCCTATTTCATAAAATCTGCAATAATAAGCAGTAAATGATTTTATTTCACCCTAATCATGGACACTTGGTATGTTATTTATGGACCCTGAAGTAGTCTGCATTGTTTCTTTCTCAAAACTCCTTAGAAGAAAGTCCTCTCTGAGATGGCTCATTCTGCCTGTCTATACATCCTCTCGTCTCTTAGGTCAGCTGATCAGCTGCTCTTCAGTAACTTTTTTTCTTTTTTTCATTTGTTGCTCTTAAGATGTGAACAATCCTATGACAGCAAGGTAGACAGGCCTTTTTTCTTTCTATTATTAAATCACTTCTTAAAGCTATTTTCTTTGCTTTGACCTTTAAAACCACTTGAAACGCTGATATTTTGACCCAGTTTTTGTTTTTCTTTGATTCTTCATGATGTTTTAAAATGTTCTATGAATGGAGCTGGATTGGAAGATGGAAAAAATGAAACTATTTTGAAACCTGATGACCTAAAACACACATTTAGGAGGACATGATCCTGACTCAGGATCTGCTTGGCAGCTGAAATTGACGCAGTGCCAAGCAGGAGAGTCGGCTCATGTTACTCTGAGTGTCGGTTCCGTCTGTGTGTTTGGGATTTGAATTTGTGAGTCAGTCAGCGTGCAGGTGTTTGTGTGTAAAATGATGACAGTGACTACAGGCCTAGCACGTACTGCAGCAGCAGTCACAACGCTATTACATAACCCATCTCAAGTGGCCTGCTAATAGCTCAGCCCTGCAGAGCACGTGCTGTCCTGTCCCTTTTTCTCTCATCCTCTTTTATCCCTCTCTCACACACACTCAGTCAGTTCATGAACCCCTC